ACGCCCTCTACCCATCACTTATTGACCATCATAGCCTCAATATATCACATACTGGCCACCACACCCTTACGGCCTGCTCACTTTTAACCTCTCCGTGTCCTTCTTTCAATCCCCGTCTTCCTTATTCCCCCCTTCTCTCACTCCTCCCCTTCCTTTCTCTTTGTCAGTTAATTAGTCTCATTTATCTATCTGTTTACCCACCTACCTACCCGCATACCTATCTATCTTCTTCCCTGCTTACCTAACCCTCCCCTCCCCCACACACACACATGCACACACACACACAACACACACACACACGCACACGCACACACAACACACACACACACACACACACACACACACACACACACACACACACACACACACACACACACACACACACACACACACACACACACACACACACACACACACACACACACACAACACACACACAACACACACACACACACACACACACACACACACACACACACACACACAAACACACACATATATGTGCGTGTGTATATATATATATATATAACATAGAATAATTAGATGGAAAAGAAGAGGAGGAAGAGAGAATGACGATGATAAATGATGATGAGGAAAACCAAGGAAAACCAAAAAGAAATTCAACAGGAAAGGAGGGGGAGAGGGAGGGGGAGCGACCAGCGCAGAGCGAGCGATGGAAAGGGACATCAGCCTTGCCCTGTGGTAAATGAAGGGAAACGCGGAGGTAACGGGCGGGTTGGAATCCATCTACATACCGGAATAAGTCATAGTGCATACGTAAAGGAGCAGTTGGCGACGGGCGAAGAGTGGGAGGAGGAAGAGACACAAGAAGAGGTGGATGGGTGGGTGGGTGGGTGGAAGGGTGGGTGGATGGGTGGGTGGGTGGAAGGGTGGATGGGTGGATGGGTGGGTGGGTGGGTGGGTGGGTGGGTGGATGGATAGATGGATGGATGGGTGAGTGGTTGAATGGATGGGTGGATGGATGGATGAAGGGATGGATAGGTGAAATTCTTCCTTTGTCCTATTGAATTTAGTTTTGCTTGTATTTTTTCATTTTTGATATGCCTTCTGTTGTTTTATTTTGTTTTGTTTGGTCTTATGCAAGTTCATGATAAGATATTTTTTTATTTCTTAAATCTCTTATACTTCGTGTATTCTCTTTATTTATCCCTCGATTTTCTTTTTCTTCTTCCTCCACCTCCTTACTCTCTTCCTCTTTTTCCCATTCCCTTTACTTTCATGTTCTCCATCTCATCTCCTCCTCCTCCTCATTCTCTCTTTTTTTTTCCTCCACCTCCTCTTTCTTCTCCCCCTCATTCTCTCTTCCTCCTCCTCCTCATTCTCTCTTCTTCTTCTTCTTCTTCTTCTTCTTCCTTCTCATTCTCTCTTCCTCCTCTTTATTCTTCCTTTCTTATACAGATACCTTGTATCTTCCCTCCTCCTCCTTCTCTTCTTTAAATCCACTTTCTCTTTCTCTTATTCCCCCTCCGCCTTTTTCTATTTCTTTCTTCCCTTCGACTTCCTCGGCGTCGCTGCCTCTCCACACCCTCGCCGCAGCTCCCACTCGGCTCCTCCACGGGACCGGAGGCATGTAGAGCCGAGAAGGTGCGCGATTCCCCTTATTTTTTCGCCTTTGTGCCGCCAGCGAATAAGGTCCAGAGTACCTTGGTTCGCCACAAGAAGGCCTAGTTGAGGTGAACCAAGAAAAGGTGATAGGAAAGGCGTCCTAATGGCGCAACGTTGGAAGGGCGATAACCGCGCGCGTGGTGTAAAGGGGCCGTGCCTTAGAACGTCTAGGTTTCCTCCCTAGAGTCGGCCTGTTCTTCAGAGAGAGGAGACAGCCCGTAGATGCGGGCGCCGCTCGTAGATTCATCATAAGGCCCTCCTCCCGCAGCCCTGGGCATGGGGAGAGTCCTAGCCACACCCTAGGACTCGCAGGAAAAAAAATGTTAAAAGGCACAAGCTGTTCGCGGGGCTGCAAGACTCCGCAAAGTTAGGAACGCAAATTCATAATTCTTAGCAGATATCTTTATTTGTGATTTTAAAGGAATTAGTATATAATTATAAAAAAGTATCTATGAATTTTAAGACTGCTTTTGCATTTTGACATTTCAGATCGTTCGAGAGAAAAAAAATAACAAGAACCTGAGAATAATTTGCATTTACAATTCGAAGGAATTCCTCTGTCCTGGATGGGGTTTATTCACCACCATAAATGAGTAATGAATTCAGACACAATTACGAATACGCGAATGTATAATCCTTAATCACCTTTATGCAAAAACGCGTGCATAAACAAACAATAAACTTTTCAGAAGAATGTAGCATGATAATGAATGTTAGGTGCAAATCACAATGGAATGTATGTCTGATCTCAAAAGGGCTGGACCCTGTGAAGCGCTTGTAAGCTCAGGTATAACTAGAAATATCCCTCTCCCCTCGCCACGCCGCCGCCTCACCACACATCCTGAGGCCCTCACAGAAAAAGAGACTCCTCTGG